TGCGGATATCGTCGAAGCTCTCATTACCAATGGAGCAAATATTAATACAAAAGCATTACCATTGCATGCCGCCGTTCTCAAAGGTATATTGATATTTTTTCTTAAATTTTAATCATGATCGTTATTGCGTTTTCAATCAAGAAAAGTTAATTTTTTGAAATCAATTAATTCTACAAATTGTATTGTAGGAGACATTCAGGTCACACAGAGAATATTTACACGAATACACTTACAGGTTCTGTATAATTTTTGACATTTTACGTATTCTGTATAATCAACAGAGATATTGTACACTGTCTGTATAATTCGCTATTGATTTATATGTCATCGCATCTAAAATGTTGCCAGATGAGTTGACAGATGAATCAATAGCGAATTATACAGACAGTGTACAATATCTCTGTTGATTATACAGAATACGTAAAATGTCAAAAATTATACAGAATCTGTAAGTGTATTCGTGTAAATTTTCTCTCTGTGGTGATAAGACTGATTCTGGAGAAAGGTGTTGAGAACATAGATGCCAAAGACAATTCAGGCACAGCACTTTATTATGCTGCCCTTAATCGTAATAGATGTGATTGATAGATGATGGAAATTTTCGCTTGAAATTTAATCAAATTTTATTTTTTCCAGCTTCAATTTCAAACAATCGAGAAATAGCAAAATTACTAATTCAATACGGAGCCAACATATTTGCCACAGGCACTGGCCAATTTACATTTTACCAGTGGGCCGAAAAGGACAACTTTTTCTTTGAGAAGCTCCAAGAAGCCATGACCAAACAAGAGACTCAGAAAAAAACCAGACCTAAATACTAACACAAATTATTACTGATTATGGCCAAACTAGAAATGAGATAATTTTGTGAAATAAAACGATTTTGATTCAATCCTCTACTTGATTGAGTGAATTTTTATTTGAAGAGTGTTTGTATGTTCACTTCAAAATATTACTTTTCCGCACACATAGTGTAAGGTGAAAAGTATTGTAATCGGTCAAAATTTTGAAAACTTCATAAACATGTTTTCTGGACGTTTCTGAGGTCAGTGAACCCGAATCAGGCCGTTTTGAGCTTGGTTTATGTTAATCTGTACGTCGTACGTCGTACGTTGTACGCAAAATTTGTTAGCAAGATTGCGCTCATCGTAGAAACTTAATACAAAATCTGACTTAACAGGATGATTGGGGGTCCCGAGGAATAGAAATCATTAGCTTTTGAGCGACTTTGGTTGATGGAAAAAAATGTCATGCCTGTAGTGATACCTATGAAAAAGAGTCCAATTTTCGTCCAAAAGTCATACTGTCATCGTATTGGGGGGTTTTTTGTCACGAGAAAGCCAAATCTGAGGTTAGTTTTGAGATACAATCAACTTTTGATACAGTTTCCTTGAAAAAATCACAAAAAAATTGAATTTTTGTATGGGAGCCATGCCTGTATGCTACCTTAATGGTGTGAAACTTTGCACAGTCTATTTTTTACACAAAAAAAACATTCTGAAAGTTTGAAGAGATTTCAATCAAAATTGGGGTTACCTCCCATACAACATTTTCAGTTTTTGGCTCAAAAACGAATATTTTGTATGGGAGGTACTCTTAATTTTAGTTGAAATTTCTCCAAACCCTCCGAATGTTATTTTTTTGTGAAAAAACAACCTGTGCAAAGTTTCACACCATTAAGGTAGCATACAGACATTGCTCCCATACAAAAATCCAAATTTTTTGTGACTTTAGTTATGAAAAGTGTTTCAAAAATAATTTCTATGGCAAAATTAGCGTCAGACATATTTTTTATAGTGTATTGTTAGAAAATAATAGAATACTTTCAAATGTCGTACAAATGGGTTCATCATGAAAGTGTGAAAAATCTTTTCTCGAGTACTTCTGCTATTAAATTAAAGAATATTTTGTTGCCAAAGTTGAAACATATTTTTTGGCCTCAAACTTTACGCCGCTTGAAAGCAGAGGTGCGCACGCATTTTCTTTTTGGGGGGATAGCTGTCATATTTCGGATTTTCGGAAGGGGGGGGTCAAGAAAATAACCAATTCTTGGGGGGGGGGTCAATCCGGATTTTCTTCCGAAAACCTGAAACCGCTTGTATTAAGATTGACTTTCGATTTGACTGAGAACGAAAATGATAATGAATGAGTTTCAATAATATGACGTACTTTCGATTATCTCAAAAAATGATAGTTTTTTACAAAACTAGCCAGAAAATGAAAAAAAACAAGGCAATTTTGTAATGAATATACACAAAAATGTGTATTTAGAAAATGTACTTGAATGGGGGAGGGAAATCCGGACGTGATAAAATTTTGAGGGGGATAAAGTTAGACCCGGAAATCCGGACGTGACCAAGCTAAGTGGGGGGTAAAACCCTGAATCCCCCCCAGTGCGCACCTCTGCTTGAAAGGCTTGAAAAATCGAAAAAATATTATTTTGAACTTTCTTAATAAAATACGAAACTACCACCGTGCGGAAAGGTTCGTCTTACTCCCGTAAGACTCTTTATTTTTAATTTGCAAAAGTGTGATTGTAAAAACGCATGTGCGACTGAAATGATGCAAAGGGTATTCGCTTCAATTTGAATCTGTGGTTGGTTTTTATTATGGATATAAGGATGAAATTACATTTCAATTGGAGAATGAATTTCAACTGACCCCTCAAAAAAAAAAAACGAGAAATAAATTCCGGAGTATTGCTCAGCGCTGCTGCCATCCACAGCATATTAAAATTACTTGCTTAGAATGCGTCTTCCGTCGCATGCGAAGGTACGTAGCAGTTTTTACGTCACCGCGAACAACAATGCATGCATTGTTCTCTATACAATCATTTGAATGTTTTGACTCACATAATCGTGAAGAAATTTCAATGCATATTACTTTTCTTGGTTGAAAGTTGACGTGTTAACAAATTTTTGCGTACAGCTCCTCGGATCGTATTATAAACGGTGAATGAGTTCCCGTGGATGGTAGTATTTCTCATTGAATATTTTTTTTTTGCTTTTTTCATAAAATTAAATTACAGATTCGCGGGATCGCATTTCAACTTTTTGAAAAAAAGTCGTAGAACAAAAGTTTATCATCTCGGTATGGTCGATCAGAAAAACACTCCCTCTCAATGATATCCTCAAATCTTTAGAGAACGACCAACCCTATTACACACTCATTCATTGTTTTCTTCATTTGTGTGTAAGTATGAGTGTCGATCTGTGCATTATTACCCCTTCAAACGAATTGTGTTTAAGATACACACGCCAATTCGGGTCTTACACATTCTTCATTTAGAAGGAGCAATAATGCATGGACTTCTGCGCAGACATTAGGTTTGAGCTATGGATATAGCGGCTGCTATTTCATAGCTGCTATTCATAGGCGCTATTTATCTCGTTTTAATGCATTTATGCATATTGTGCGTTATTTTCTACATCTCTCTCGTACTCACATTCAAATGTACAAAAGAATAGTAGGCTATGATATTCCTACTCGGTGTTACACACAGCACACGAATTAAATAGCGCCTATGAATAGCACCTATAAAATAGCAGCCGCTATATGCATAGCTCGAGCCTAATGTCTGCTTCTGCGTGTATCATCGGATTCTCACAAAATCTATGCTCAGTATATGGTCTGATTTTGTATGAAGGATGTCTTTGTTTTTTATCGAAATTTCTCCAAACTTGATGGGATAAACTATTTTGGTAAGAAAACTAAGAAAGAAAATTAGCACTGACAGTAATGGTCGATGAAAACTCTTACATTAAGTTATATACAATGGATTAAGCCCTTGTATCGCACATGGTAATGTAAAATGAATAAAAATATCAAATATATATGTCGTTCACTCAAAGATATTTTATTATTTGAGATGTTGATAATTCATTGTTACAATATTATAATTATAATATATGGATTTTTAGCCATAACTCTATCCTCGTTCTCTACCATGGTCAGCTGGATTATATGGAGTAGTTTTCCTCATTGCTTGTTGCAGTGGACTATAAAACATGAACAAAATTCAAAAAGTTTAAAATTTGAATTGCATTCAACTTCAAATTAAAGATAACTCACCCGGGTTGACCATTGTAATCTATGATCTTTTGCCGCGCACTAAGTGAATGATTCAAAAGTATTATTGGACCGACCAAAGTTATGTTTCTATTACCATGAATAAACTTACGCTGCAATGTCATCATTTTGACTATAATGCGCCAAAAACACACAAATATTAGTTATTGATTCATCCGTTTTATTAATTTAAAGCTTTTTTCAAACTTACCCGACAATACCCTTGTTTTTCAAGCTGAAAGAAAACAATAAGTATAAAGAAAATAATTAAAATTTGGAATTTTTTCAATCAAAAATTCAAAGAATGACTCAAGTATAGTTATAGTACTCTCCACTCCCATTCAATTAACATTCAAAGCTTCAGCCCAATTAAAGCTTTTTTTGTAAAGTAAATGAGTTTGGAGCAGGTCATTTAAATGGAATAATGAACTGTTATAAAATCACAGTCGTTCTTTACCAGCACAAAAAGTAAAATGCTTTTTCTCCATCAAGTAATCCCAAAGCTCTGTATTAATAAATAATTCAAAATTAATAAATGTGTATTATTGAAAATTCATAATCAATATAAAGCGTACAGATTCCGTGTTCCAGTCGTTATAGCAGCACTATATATTTGAAATGAAATAATTATTTAATGGAACAATGATCGTTTAATTTTTCTTAATTTATTATTGAGTGAACTTACGATGATTCGCTAGAAAAAGAAAAAAAAACATTTAAGTTGATTATGAAGTTTTTGAGATGCAAGAGATGAACATTTTGATTAATTTCTATCACCCAATTTACCTGGCCATCATAATGACAGCAACAGCAGCAAAAAGAATGGCGAATGAATATTTCATGTCGGTTCGGTTTGGTCTCAAACTAAGTTAGTTCAGATACTGATGAACTTAGATGAGTTTCCTCCCCTTTTTATTGGAAATATTAACTTTGGAATTTCAAACGGAATTTTTAGGTTACGTTGTAAACTTAAATTTAAATTCTTTTAAAATTGGTTTTCGTGAAAACAAAACAATACGTTCAGCATCACATTTTGTTAACTTGGTACACGTGTAACACTTTGAACAACTTATGATATAGAGAAACATGTTTTTTTTCATATATTGTCAAGTAGAATACAGACATTCCTTCAGACATGCAAACAAGAACCAGATGATTTCATGCGTAAGTCATATGACTCGACTGTTTATCGAGTTTCTGACGGCATTTCGAAAATATGTAAACTATGAATGATGGCTTTGCCAATTAATCTTGCTCAATGATAATTGTTTTATTTCTTTTTATTTTTTATAAGTATTGTATTCTTTTTATTGTTTCTTTTTATTGTACTCGTATTTTATAATTCATTCGCATTTAAATTATTGATTTATAATTCAATAATTTAAGAATTATAATTCAATAAGTTAAATGCGTCAATTAGAAGTAAAACAAGGCGCGTGTACTAGAAAGATATCGACTTACTTACCAAAAATGTCCATTAGAAATTGAAAGAATATTGAATACATCATAATCATATAGTTGACTAAACTTGATTAAGTTGATAAATGGGGGTGACGTCAAATAAACGTATCGGAATTTCATACCAATTAGTAAACGTTCTAAATTGCTAGAAAAGTTTTGACAAATTGATAGCTCATACCCGATGTTACTAAAGTTTCAATATGTTTTGGGTTTAATTGCAGGCGAACTTCTCGTTGAACCGATATTCCAGTTGCTCTGGAATCTCGATTTCGTACACTGTTGGCCACAAGAC